AAAAAAAAAGAAAAAGAGCTTCTATAATATACTGGCTAAAAATGAAACTGCTACATATCAATTTTCAGTTCTTTCCCTCATGGATAGAAATTTATAAGACATTATCAAATTCAATTATAATTACCTTATTGGGTTTTTATATCAACATATCATATCAACATATCAACACAGCTTTAACATGTAACTGCAAGACATTTGCTGCAGAGTAGTAAAAAATAACCCAGTTGGTTTCGTCTTTCAGTCAAAGAAGACATTCTGTTATTGAAGGTGATAATTACTTTGTTTATAAAAAGAGACAGGCTTGCCTTTTCCCCAGTATAACATAATAGTTAAAATTGCAGAAACTGAATACAGACAGGTTTGGTTCTAATTTTAGTCATACTATATTACCTTGGGCAAAGTAAGTGTTCAGAGCCTGAGTTTTGAGATCATAGAAATCAATTTATTAGATTGGTATAAGAACTAAATAAAATGGTACAGAATAGTTTTTAGTATAATGTTTAGAAAATTTTGCTGCCTAATAGATGTGAGCTGTCATTAAGTGTAAGGAAGTCCAACAAAGTTCTTAGCTTTCCTATCATATCTACCTTTTTGTTCTGTTTTGTTTTAGATTCTTGCCAGAGGGCACATGCACTCATTGGAGAGAGATAGAGAGACAGTGAAAGGGCAAGTGAGAAATCACCCACCATGGGGGAAGACCTTGCCACAATCAAATTTCCTTCTCCATTCTCCTCCTGGGATTTCAAACTTCCACTCAGACTTGCCTAGCTGCCAGGTCTGGGACTCAAACCTTGGTCGGCCATATGGAAGTCCAACACCTTAACCACCACGCCACCTGCTGGCCCTTCTGCTTGTTTTTAATTCTCAGATATTACATTCATCCCAAAATACCTCACCTGTCTTTTCGGTGACCCGTTATGGGTGCTCTCAGCATGTGCCTCATCTGTCTTTTGGGTAACCCGTGCCTACCGTTCAGAATATCTCTGTGTCAGCTCAATATTTCATATATTGGCTAATTATCTTCTGAATGGCATGTTGACTTGTTTGTATTATTTTTGGCCATGTTACCCAGACAAGGTTTGTGCAAAGGCCATCCTCTGGCCACTGGACAAAAAGGCCTTTTGAATATTTAGCAATACATGGGCACCCTTCTTTCTTCATCATGGATAATTTGACTCACTAGAGGAGATCCAAGGAAAGCCTTCTCATCTGCTACTAATATTATGTATGTCCTTGTATTAATCCTGGAACTGACCCCACATAGAGAACAGTGTATTTTATGTGGGCCTAGATTAAAGTGTACTTTATAGATCTGATTGCCCCTACCTTAAAAAAAAAAAAGGAGTATCCAAACACATTTGGCAGTAGGCACTTTGACTTTCAGTTTCTAATCTAGTATGCTAGATAAAAGAATATATATTTGTTTAGATAAAAATGAAAAAAAAAATCTTAAGAAAGTTCAGAGCACTTATTAACTGCCTAATTTCAGGATAGCTGCAGAGGGACTTGAGATACCTTGTGCTGTGCAGAGGCAGAAAGAGAGCTACCATTTCATGAGCATTTACTCTGGGCCAAGTGTTAGGTAGATTATCTCATTCATGTACTTTAAATGTCTAGGTGTTGTTTGTAGGAGAATAGTGATTTGTGTTAGCCAGAGGAAAGGCATCTAATTTTCTCTCACAGTTGATAGCTGAGCGAACCAAGTCCAAGATTTCCTAAAGTCTCATGCCTCAGTAATGGGAAAGCTGGATTTATAAATTTTTTGCACAGCATAGATATGGGAAATATGTTTCTGTTGCTCATTTTGGTTTAAAGACATTTACTTTCCAAATTGGACCTACTTTTGAATTGAAAATAGTGTACTAAGTAAGAAAGCTACCAAGTTAGAACAATGATTCACTGTAGTAGTCAGCAGCATCAAATCATTTAGGATGCTTATAGGTAGGGCAGATATATTCTCCCAAATATAATTGATTTATTACGTGAAACATTCAGTTGTCATAGCATAGTATATTTAATAAATTGGAGACGATCAGTCGATTCATTTTAGCTATTTCATGTTGGGCAGACATTATTTCTCATCAAAA